GGAAAGAAGAACAAAAGATGCTTTTCAAATAATGAACATTTTAACCAAAAACTAGTTAAATTTTATAGGATTTCAGAAGTATAGAATCTGGTATCATTACTGCTTGTTTTGCATGTGATTTCTGCAGCCAGCATAGGCCAGTATTGTAAACCCTTCACTAGTTCAGACTCTAGTACAATTTGCCTAGAACTTGCTAACGCACTGCACCAGGTGGAAGAAGGGAAACGAAGGCAAATGAAAGATGCCAACTCTAAGGACCCCGTGTACACCGGGAAACCTAGAAGCCCTAAGGACTCAGGCAGAGTCATCATCTCCACCTGAAGATCCATGGCAGGACCAGACACTGAAATATGTAGCGAGCAGCTTGTGGAGTTACATGCATGTAAAGGAATAAAGTTAGGAACGTCACAATTACTGCAAAGCCTTCATAAGAGCTACAAACTCCCTCCATGAACGCACCCTTCCCCCAGCTGTGCTGAACAGGACTGGCCGATCAGGACAGGCCTCTGGCTCCCGTGTACCTCCCCTCTCCGCCTCCTGCCTGCTGGGTGCTGGGTGCTGGCATGTTTCGGATTCTCCCAGCAGTGCCACGGGCGCTGCCCCCTGGTGGAGAGGCCCACCCTCTGCACAGGACCAGTTCAAAGGGCTGTGCTGCCACTTAGCAGAAACTGAAACCATGCACTTCACACTGACTCTGCCCCATTCCCCCCTCAAACAACAGCAAACAGCCCTGGCTGGGTGGCTCAGTTGGTTGGAGCAAACAAATACCCAAATTGGACTAAAGACGTGAATCTACAAATCCAAAAGGCTCAATTAACTCCAAGTAGAATAAACCCAAAGAGACGCACACCAACGCACACACTCCAACTTCTGAAAGGCAAAGCCGGGGGACTCCTGAAGCAGCAGCAGGACTCCCGCCTGGAAGGATCGCGCGAGGGTGTGAGCCATTCTCAGGCCTGAGGGGTGAAGGTGGCTGCAGCCACGGAGAGGAAGGCGAGGGGAGACACGAGATCCTGTGTCCTGCGGTGGATCCTGTATCCTATTCTGTGTCCTGACTGTGGTGCTGGTTAAACAAATCTTTACACGTGTTCTGACTCACCGAACAGTAACCAAACGAAAAGTCAATGTCATGCTCATAATTTTAAAAATTAAACGAACTTGAAAAAGCTGGTCATGTTGATGTAAATGGCAAATTGCAAGATGTGAGCACAGAGGGTAGGGCACTCTCAGAAACCATCTTCCTCAGAGCCCCTCCTCTGAATCCTTTTGCTGTTCTTGTGTTAAATCCATTTTGCCCATTTTTTTAACATCAATGACCTCCACCTTCCCCAAATGTCTGTCAACATGAAGAAGTATGTTTATCTTGTTCTATTTTTCTGCCTTAAGAAACATAAAGTATCTTTTCTTAGCAAATGTCAAGTACAACAATATGCCTAAACATTTTCTTCAGTATTATAAAATAAAACTGTAAATAAAACAACTTTTTAAAAATTAATTTCTCATAATAAGTTCTCAAACATAATTTATATCAATATATTTGAAAATTATCTTAGATAAATATTGATCCCAAAAGTCAACATGTTTGGTCATTTTCAAGACCATATTTAAATTGGAAAGTGATTTACCAAAAAATATTTCTGTATTCTAGAGCTCTATTCTAGTAAAAGTATTCTCCCATTAATATATTAAGTCATCTTGATTCTAAAGATTTCTTTGCTGAAATATCCATATTAAAATCAAAATGAAAAAACTTGAACAGACTGTGAACTGACGTCCCATAAGCAGTAAGTGAACGCTTCTCCATCAAGAAAGGCCTTTGGGAGGGGACCACGCCCATTCTCTCTCCTCTAGCCCACCCACATGACTGTTTTGATGCAGCAATGCCAGAAGTACCACTGCCAAAAATGTACACAGGCCTAACAATAAGGTTCTGATTAGTGTCACAAAGGACCAAAATATGTATCGATTATAAACTTATACAAGTTGATCTGCAATTAGAGTCTCCAAATATAAACCCCAGAATCCCAATGAGTAAATGAGTCTCTAACTAGTACCCGCTCGTGTAAGTGAAGTCATTTCATCGTTGAAAAACTCAGCTGTTTTCTATCTATATGACCTCATTTATGTAGGACCCTCAAAAACATATTCTCAAATGCACATTTACCTAGAAGGTCAAAAGCAGGTAGGGGTGCCCTGACCGGTGTGGCTCAGTGGATAGAGCGTCGGCCTGTGGACTGAAGGTTCCTAGGTTCAATTCCAGTCAAGGGCATGTACCTTGGCTGCGGGCACAT